GGAGGATCAGAGGGGTGCCAAGGCCTCAGCCCTCCCCTCGGCAGGCAGGGAGCGGGCAGCAGCATTTAAGGGGGCTCTCACTGCCTCCCGGGCCATCCAACATACTGAGTGCTTGAAGGCGGCACGTGCCTCAGGTGCTGGGAAGTGCTGAGGAAGGGGGACCTCCAAAGGATGCTGTGAGGGGGAAGGACAGGACGGGGAAGGGCAATGGAGGGTGTAAAGCCTCATGTGGTCGCTGCCGCATGGGAGGGACATGGTTTCCGTCCCGTGGGGACACAGAACAAGACAACACGGAGGGGGATGGGGAATGTGACAAGGCTCCCTCGGTTCTTTACTCACGGATGCAGCCTTGCACCCCTGGGCTCCATGGAGGGCCTCAACACAGGGACCGCTAATCCCCACCTTCCTCACCTTCGTCCTCTTCAGCTCTGTCTGGATACCGTTGTCCATGATCTTGACAGTGATTTGACCATCTGACACCTCAGGCCGCAAGAAGGGGGGTCTCACCAGCACCGTCTGCTCAGCCTTCGGGCGCCCGAGGTACCTAGAGAGAGGGGTGGGAGGAAGGTCAAGGCCTGGAGCTCGGGATGGGGCAGTTTGCCCGCGTGTTGCAGGGCTGGGGGGGCACTGCCGTGCTGTGCCAGGCTCACCTTGGGGCTGGGGAGCTGCAGAGGACCCGGCTGACGTTCTTACAGCAACCGTTGGTGAAGGGGTTGACACCACCACGGAACTTGCCCGTCACCTGCGGGATGAGGAGCATCGCAGCGTATTGGGGTGGGCAGGGACCTCGGGAGGTCTCTGGTCCAGCCAGCCAGATCAGGTTGCTCAGGGTTTGTCCAGCTCACTCATGAAAATCTCCAAGAACAGAGATACCTGGACATACTCCCCCTTTTCCAGGTCCCTGTTCCAGTCTTTTATGTCTAACTGGAAGTGGCCTTGTTTCAAGTTGTGCCCGTTGCCTCTTGCCCTCCTAAGAAGAGCCTGCCCGGCTCCATCCTCTCTACAGCCACCCCTAACAGGAGCAGCAAAGATCCCCCATCTCCAGGCTGCACAGATGAGGTGCTCTCAGCCTCCCCTCACAGACCTCTTGTGCTCTAGCTCCCAACCAGCTCAGTGGCCTTCCCTTGCCTCAATCCAGCCTGTCCATGTCTGTCTTGTCCCGGGGAGTCCCAAAACGTATCCAGATGTGGCCTGACAGGAGCCAGCAGCCCTGCACCAGCCCCACAGGCATACCTGTTCGTTGGTAGTACGGCCCCTCGCCACGAGCACCACGTGGAACCCCGTAAGGCCAGCGACGGGAATGAAGAATAAGCCGGCCACGCACATCACCACCATACTATCAGCAGATAGCTAAGGAAGAGCCGTAGCCCTGCTCCACAGCACGCTGTCCCCAGCCCCACCAACGCCCTCCCTGCCTCGGCCCTGCTCCTGCAGCCTCGCAAAGGATACGTGACCGCCATGCGGACGCCGGAGAGCTCTTCCACCTGGTAGAGGACGTAGAGCAGGCCAAAGCCAAACACCCCCATGATATGCGTGGTGAGTGACAGCAAGAATAGGAAGAAGTAACGGTAATTGCGCCGCCCGATGCAGTTGTTGACCCAGGGGCAGTGATGGTCAAACTCCTGTCAGTGGGGAGAAGACACAGTGAAGGGCTTGGCTGCCAGGGCTCCCTGCCTGCACTATGTATGAAACTCTATGTCGAAATGAAGAGGCATCGAGACCCGGCAGTTCCTCACCTCCACACAGTTGTCGCAGACGCTGCAGTGGGAGCAGCGCGGCGGCCGGTAGAAGCGGCAGGTCGCACACCATTTCATGCGCACCTGAATGCCCTTGATCTCCACCGTCTTGTAGAGCGGGGCTCGGAAGTCGTCCTCCTTGTCTTCATCCTCCTCAGCTGACAGGGAAACCCCAGCACAGCCGCGCATCAGGGCATGGGGGAAGGCAACGCCAGGGCCCAGCCAGCCTTTTGCCCATCCTGACACCCTGCCCATCTCACCTGGCACACGGACCAGCCAGGGACCCCCAAACACAGGTAGAGGCAGGGGAGCTCTCCCAGGCCCTGAGCCCCAGGTACCCAATATGGGGTGCCAGGATTTACGCTGCTTCCGCCATCTGGTCCTACAGGCTGCGAGCTGAACCCAGAGCTACCATCCCCATAGCGTGTGTCATCACCCAATCCCACCCCGGCAGGGCAAGGAGGGCTTTCCTCAAGCCTTTTGGGATCAGGTAATCCTCTTTACCTCGGAGGAAGGGTGGAAGGAGGTAGCTCTATCCGAGACACTTCCCAAGCAGAGCCAGACTCACCTCGCGGGAATATGCCTGGGTCCATGAAGGTGGCCATACTGAAGTTGGCCAGCACAAAGAGGAAGACGACGGCATTGTAGACAGGAATGACTGGGGAGATGTACAGGCTGAGCCCCGGGCATCTGCAGGCACAAAAGCAGTGAGACCCCCAGGCCCTGTCCCACAGGTCACTCTTCCGGTGCTTCCCGCTCCGCCTCGCATCGCCTCCCTGCTGGCCCCGCTCCCGCAGAGCCCCAGGCAGGTGTCACCAAGGCCCAACGGTGCCCTCAGAGCAAGCGAGGGCCGACCAGGCACCAACTGCCCCCTCCGAGCCCCACAGCCGTCCCTGTAAGCCATTACTGCTGTGCTCAGTGGTGGCCTGGCTGGGAAGTCCACGTTCCCCGCTCTTGGGCTGTATTTTCAGGCTCCTGCCCAGGCAGGAAGCTGTGGAGGTTCCCTGCCATCAACCTTCCTTTCGCTCTCACCCAGTGCCCTCCCCTAAACTGGAGCTATACCCAGGCCAGCGTGACCTAGAGTGTGTTCAGCCACCTTCTGCAGACCAGCCTACCCCCAAGCCCTGGGGAGCAGCCGTGGAGGGCTGGTGCGGGAAGCGCTCTGGTAAATCATCACAGAGCAAAACCACCGCTTGCCTCTTGCGCCCACAGCCCTACGGGCACTGCCTGCGCAGGACCC